AAATGACACGGCGAAGTGGGTCATGTACGCTCTTGTCACATGATAAACCAGCGTTTATTTCCCCATAACGATAACAAGATCAACATTCATTCCTTGCCTTATTGTCACGTGACAAACTACAGTTATTGGAAAATAAACGCCGGTTTGGCTAACTGGTTTATTGAAGGGAGTGATAGTAGAAATGTAAATATAAAAGAATAAAGTCAAACAATGAAAATAACGTCACGTCATTATTCTGTTTTTCAAATAACAAATTAGAAGACGTTTTCTCAATTCGCTCTGTAGTTTTAACAGAGAAACAGCAGAAAAATGTATTGATTGGTGAACATTATCTGGGACAGAACTGCATGGTGATGATTTAGCAGATCTAGCCACATTAAATAGATCTTCTTGTTCATTACTTATGGCAGAATTACACCAAAAATTTAAAGAAAAAAAAACACGGTAAATATTTCTTTTATACTAAATAATGTAACGTAGCTTTGATGAAATCTCCCAGAAGAACTTGTTGCTGAAGATTTTAGTTTCTACAGCACACACTATAGTTTAGATGATGCTAAAGAACCAACACGTTCTGTTGATGAATATCTTCTGTCAGTAGATTGTGAAGATGTCACGAATGATGGACAAAACATCAACCTCCAAGATACACCTTCAAATATTTATTGCTGGCATACTGATTCCTTTTTAAATGGAGGATTGGCAAGACATACCAACTGTATTCAACTTGACGCTTACTTGATAGGTCGTTTCATTGTGGAATTAAATCCGAGGAAAAAGAAACGAGGAATTGTGTCGGTAAGACTAAGACTATTTTAAAAAAATGTTTCATTTGCTTACTTCAGACTTCATCTGTTCGTAAATAGTAACATTAAAAAAACATTGACGACTTGTGATCAGCAATCATGGTACCCAACAACAATGGAGTGTTGAGCTTCTCCAACTGCTGCTGTATTATATGGTTTAACTCAAAATTTTTCCTGGTGAGGTGAAACTGATACCAGGTTTATAAATGGCACAAAACTCGTATAATCGACCATATTTCTTGTGGCCAAGTGTTATTTTAAAATTGCTTCAAGTATTTATCTTTCGTTTTGTCTCGATTGAAATTACATGTTTTAATACAAGTTATTATTTTAGAACCCAATCTCTTTAACTCGCTCTCTCTACATAACGATAGCAGATCTTCTAGACTATAAAACTATTTTCTCATCAATATTTTATCTGCTATAAAACTAATGTGTCGACATGCAAACTACAGCTCTATCTTCAATACATTACAAATTAATCTTAGCTTTGATTTCACCACACTACTAGTAAAACCCAGCACATTACAGAAACCTTCTAATCTCAGTCGACAAAGCTTGTCGGAAGCAAAGAAATGGAACTGCCAGACAATGTACAGGCCTACCATACTGAAATTCCGATATTTCTGTTTCAAAAACGTTTTAATTCAATGATTGTTCTCTCTGCGAGACTTGTTATTCATATCAGCACCCTTATTGGAGACAACCGATTCCCATCTAAATGGAGGATTAGAACGCATACAACCTGTTTTTTCAGGTTTGTTGCTAACAATTCTACTTTGTTCCACCTGACTCTGTGCCGCCTGTCTTTAAAGTAGTGCTCCGCCATTGCCGAGTCTTCAGGTTTGCGGTTGGTACAGGCTGCCTTATGTCCATCTATCTTAACACGAAAGAACCCGCTACTTGTCAGCTTTCCTCAAAACCGCGACACATCATTGGCGCATCTGTGAGAAATCTATACGAATTGCTCTCAGAAATCTACGACATGTACCTCATCCAAACAATTCTCCAGGTGACAAACCATTTTTACCTAGTCCAGTTCAATCTTCACGATCTTCACTTTGAACATCGACAAGTCGACCACTAAGGATTTAGAAGCAGTACACGATTTAGGAAGTATAGATTTTTTAAACAATATTTTATTCATATAGACTTAAAAATGATTGGGGTAAAGAACCCTCTTTCCAAGTTCCCTTTCCGAATTGAATACTGATTATTCAAGGGTCACCAGACTTCCATTTAAATCTCAGGCGAATCAGACCTCAGAAATTACAGCTAAGCTATAAAGACATGGATTAAAGATGTCTATTACAGGATCGCGCCGTAGACATCCAGATTAACATTGATAAAAATCGGCAAAGCAAGACAGTTAATAAAATCTCGTCCAAAGTATGGCAAAACCGAGAGTCCAAGGAGAAGTACCATGAAGTGTTTCTGAAAGAGTGAACATTGTCGGCTTCGCGTGCGACACTACTACATAGGTCAACATCATTAGATACAATCAGATCAATTTATAACTATTTGTCCAAAAGTTCGCAATGACGACCATAAAATTTCCTAGGTGAAGTTTGAAGTCTATGTGTCAAGTAACTCTGCTTAAGCAATTTCACAGGACTTCTAGATAGTAGTTGGTATCTTTTACAAATACAAACAACCCACATTTAGCTTTTTCTAGAAGAGTTACTATCAACAGGGCCTGCAATGAAATAAAGAAATTTGTCTGTGGAAACTATTTTTTACTTCCAAGAAAGAACGTTTTTTTCCTCAGATATGCGAATCGGATATGGAAAATACGTCCAGTTGTTAGTGAGATAAGATAAACCGGTTTTCTGTGGATAATGTGCGTTTAAGTTTTAAGATCTATCTACATAAAGATAGAAAGAAATGGGCAATCGTAAAAAAATACGATCATATGTCAATGTCAGCTGTGGTCTGGGTGAAAGAGTCTAGTAGAAGCACGCGGACCTCGCCACACACAATAGTATTGACGAAGAACTTGTCAATACTGAATATTGACAATACTATTGATCGTCTGCACGAAATACTGAGTCATGTTGTGGAAATCTATTCTATGTAGGTTTGCTGTTGACGGTTGACCGATATAATTGTATTGTAACCTATTTTTTCTTACTTTATTTTGAAAGTGAATAGCTAAGATGGCTTGGGCGAAAGAAAAAGAAAGAGAATTTTTACTTGAAGTGATACATGTATACAGAGAACTGCCTTGTCTGTGGAAAATGAAGAGTAGCGATTACACCAATCGAAGCTTGAAAGATGAAGCTTATAAGGTGTTATTGAAAAAGTATAGGGAGAGATTCGAGGACGCAACGAAAGAAGATTTAAAGAAGAGATTGAACTCCTTGCGAACCAACTTCCGTAAAGAATTGAAGAAGGTAAACGATTCTGTGAGAATAGGTAGTGATGAAGTTTACGATCCATCCTTGTGGTATTTCGACGCCATGTCGTTTTTAGGTGACCAAGAAGTGTCGACACAAGTCGAAGAAATGTCAACACGATACGAGAACATGATCAAAGTAGAAACACAATCAGAGGTAAGTTATCAAAGTTTTATCAAAATTTTTGTTCTCACTATCATTTTTACTCCTATTTTGAGGGTATTGTCAACGATGGAAAGTCGTTCAATCTAACTATTTCTAGGATATAATTTATATGCTCATAACCATTAAGAATGTATGCATTATGTACCATGAACTGCTTTCAAAATCATTACTGAATTATATGTCCACAGAAATATATTTTGATTTCTGTTTTCAGGATGGACAAGAAGATGATGGCGAATTAGAAAGCTATCAAGGATATCAGCCATCACAGCAACCACGCAGTACAATGTCCAACGAAGCCAGTGGAATAGGAAAGATTCAGAAACGGAAGCAATTGGATGTGAATGAAGAACAGGGTGAAATGATATCACTAACGTGCAAGCGTCCACACCTTGTAGACGACGAGTATTTGACTCTGGCTAAAACCTGGGCAAATGATATATCTAAAATGGATTCTCGGCAGCAACTTTTTGCCAAGAAAGCCATCAATGACGTTATTTTTGAAGGGCAGTGTGGAACTCTTCATCGACATTCAGTACATATCAACATTACTCCTACAACTCCAATTCAACCCTTTTATCAATAGTGTAATAGTTCTCAGAATGAATTAAAGCGACCATTCAGTGAAAAACTCCAAACTTCAAACGAAAGTAGAGGTAAAAATGAAATGATCAATTTGTTTTGTTCTATTCTTTAGCTAAGTGTGTTAATTTCACTTATCGGAACACAGTCCTCTCGTTTAATAATCCTCAATTTAGTGAATGTTTAGATTTCATATATTTCGATGTAGAAATACAAAAAAAAAACAACTTTAATGACGAAATTTACGCATCCGTCTTTAATATGCCAAAAGAAAAACCTAACAAAATATCTGTTTCTACTATCATTGGAGATGTTTTTGTATGACAACCAAGTTTAAACTTAGTCTTTCACACATGACGTGTCATCACAATAATATGTCGAGTTGCCACCATTTGATTCTATAATTTTACGTAACACTAGATTTTGTTTTGCCTCCATATATTATATGTATTATTTAGCAGCTTTGGTGGGTATGGTTCCAGAAAGGGTATGCTTACTCTTCTGATCACTCAATGCCACTTTTCATCATTAAATGCTTCCTCGGGGATTCAGGTGTTGGCAACATTTTTCTTACCATAATATAACATTAATGTGATCAGTTCCCTCCCTTGATTATTGAAATTAAAGAAATATATTTTCATCAGTTACGTCCCTTTTAAAATTCATCGGTGAAGTCGATATTTTTGTTTGCACGTTCCTATTTGACGTCTTTGTAGTGTATGTTAAGTAGCTATGACGGACGTGGCGCCAGGCAGGGTATGCTCACCTGATGCTACTCCAAGTGGATTTGAGGTTATTGAGCCTTCTATGTTCTCTTGATTAAGAATAGGCCTACATGGATAACTCATTATAAACACAAATAATCATATAGTTTACTTGATTTTACTCTTTAAAATGTGAAAAGCCATATTTGATAAGAAAAGGAGGCATTTCCTGTCAAAGGATATTTGTTCGACTCTGATTAATTATGGATGTAAAACCACACAGATTGCAATCAACGTGGACAATTTACTTTATGATAATCCGAAATATCAAAATGTCGAAAAGGCCGGACTATCTATTATCTCCCTTGATATAAAGTAATGATTAATTTCATGACGCCAGAAGCTGACGTCATAAAAGTACCCGGAAGATGCGGACTATAGTATACAGTGGATAATGGTACAGGTCTCTGTTGGCACGTTCCTATTTGAAGTGTTTGCTTTTTATGTTGAGCAGCTATAAATATACTAGGGCCTATTTGATAACCAGAAATATCAATATAAAGACGAAAAGGGCGAACTGTCGATTATCTCCCTTTGGCCTCTACGTGATTGAGCAACTGATTGATTATGAACAATATTATTGCAAGAAAATATTACTTTTTATGTAACGTCTGTGGAACTCGGTCTAAATCGTTCAGGTCATTTTATTTCTGTAATTGAAAGGCTGTATCTCTACCAATTTCATATGGTCAAAACCAACGTGTTTTATTTAAGATAAGGAAACCCGACCATAAATTATTATCAGAAATAGCCATAGGACTTTAACTTGTCATTCCATTTTCAAACAGCAAAGTCTCATAGTAAAGGCATTGATTCCGCACTGATTGTCACAGATACAGGGCACATAGATTTAAATTAACGTGGCAAACTCAACATATTTAATTTGTATTAAGTACTGTTCTATAAATCGGAGACCTGATGTTGGTTCTTAAAGTGTCATAAGTACACTATTAGGCTATTAGGTGTGGGTCTGTGTCGTAATTAACTTAATAAAATCAGAAAATAAACATATGGGTGACGATTAAACACCGGAATCACTGTCGATTATCGCCCTTGTTTGTTTTAAGGGTTAAAATTGACAATTGGTTCTGGACTAGAAATGATATGAACATAAAGGTGATGAACTAACAAAGAACAATAGATCTTCACTTTATCTCAGATACTATTCAATATTCTACCTTCATATCACAAAGGATTATGTTTAATCTCCAGCCTGACTGCTGGCTGCACATTGATCTCTTTATTATACCCATTTCATCAATCACATAGTAACACACCTTTCAATGCACAAAAATCAATATTATTATCACGTGACTTCTTGACGCGGTCACATGATCAATTGTCGGGGTTGTGTCATCCCTAATAAGGAAGTCGAGTCGTATCCAGGTGTATTGTGGCAGCAAGGTTTTAAATAATTTATTCTGGCTTCTGCCTGGCTACGTCTATTCAGTTCCTCCTAACGATCGATGACAGCTTTCTTTGTACATGCGCAATACAACAGTGGGAATATCTATAGTAGAAGTTTATATTTAGCTTACACATAAAACTATCATTGGATGCAAAAAGGAATATTGTTGGCTAAAAAAATGTGATAAAAAAACACATTTTCTGAGGTAAGTAAGATTTAATTAATGAGAAATTGAAGAAATTTTGACTTTCTAATTCATCATATTAAACTGGTTAAAAACGAAATATAAAAAATATAACTAACGAATATATAGACAATACATTTCAATTTCATGATATGAAACATTATACCTGATAGAAAAAGTAGGATTGGCATTTGTTTTTTTTTTACATTTCATTTGCTTTTTTGTTAAAACATTTTTTTCCATTCGCAATATTGGAGTGAAATTCGATAAACGATGATACAAATGATACTTGTGTGACTAAATAAATGAAATTAAATTGTTGTTTTGTAAGGCAGATTCATTTTCCAAATAAGATGATTTTTACGAGTACATTTTACTAAAATGTTATAGTTTTGAGAAATATTCTAGGGATAATACCAAATATTGATGTATAAAACTCTAATTTATGGTTTTCCCTTATTTCCTCACATGTGAATTGGTTGAACTGTTTCCTTTGTTGGCTGAGATTTGTATAGAAAAGGAAATCTTTTGGGTGCACTTTGAAAGCCAGGTCGCTAACAATGCATCAACTATTAGCAATTGTCAAAAAGAAAAACGTCACGTGACGTACATGAAAAGGGGATGTTTGAAAGTGTGTCTGCTATTCAAACCTCAATTGACAGGTGAGCTGAAACAGGGGCGGTAATTTGTATTTTAATGCAAAGAAACATAAACAATGGTAATTAAAAAAGGCAACAGCCGTGACTTTCTATTGAATGGGTTAATATGGGAACATCTTTTATATACAATATTATATTTTTTACATGTGAATGTGAACTGTCTAAGTCTCAAAGTGACACCAACGACATGAGTTTATCGTTAAATTTATAGACAGGATCGAAAAGGGCGAAAATCAGTTAGAACAAGCACACAATTTGATTGCTACCAATCATAATGATACGTGGTATTTGTATATATCCTCAGACTGACTGGCATCCTAAACATCTTCTCGAATCCGTCGAAATCTACATAATATCAAGAAATTTCATGAAAACTCACATCATCTATCAACTGGATGGTCGCATATTTCGACCCCACAGGTCGACATCAAATTTTTATTAAAAAATCAGTCGTTGAAAATCAGTTATTCTCGGATTCGGAAGGTCGAACAGCAAGTTCTTGCATTATAAAACTACTTTTAAGACCGATATTGGTCTGAGGGGTGTGGTTTCAGTGAGACTGAAATAGAGATGTAGATATTATTTATGTGATCAATACGTGATATGATTAACCTACTAGTCTTAAATAATAGAGACCTATGATAACCTAGGTAGACAGATTGAAATTATAGAACAATATCATATCTATTATTAATTCATTATTATTACATTGCGTCACATCAGATAAACAGTATGTCGTAACGATACAGGATAATAGCAAACATCAAACATTTATAGGGCATCTCTTTACAAAGCATTGATAGCTTTTTGATTAACAAACATTGACATCGTGGTTAAAAAAAACTCTTGACATCTGATGGTCGCAGAAACTATTTTTTATCGTACACATTTTTAGAAACTATCATTAAGTTTAAAATATAAAGAATTCAATTTGTACGCACTTATTCCCTGCTCTTGAACATGATAATGAGGACAGACAGTCTCCGATCGTAATAGTTGAAGGATATATCTAAGATTGTTTCCAAATTTTGCTATGTTTTATCTGCTCAAGATATACCTTCTATGTTGCAGTTTTATGATTTGCACTAAAAAATAAGAAAGTGCATCAGTATTCAACGAGTACGAACGTTTTTGACAACTTTTCGCTTTAATTAAATTGTCAGGTTATCTTAAGTTAGTTCAAAGTCTTACTTATCATGGAATTGTTACTGCTCACTGTTCAGTAATATAGATTCATTTTATTTCAGGAAGGAACTTTATGGTCTGACCATTTTACCGGTTCTTAGATACTCCAGGCGCATTTTCTTTCATTCGACAGGACTTATTCAAACACTTTATTAAATGTTGAGTATTGGTCAAAGAGAACAATGCTCTGTTCAATATGTTCTCAAGAACTAAAGACAATTTGATTACCTTAATAAGACTGGTCAAAGAAATAGTATTGATCTTAACACGGCACCTTGTCTAGTTCCACTATTAGATTGTAAGCTATCGTGATTCTTACTAAGCCTCAAGGAAATTTCTGTCTTCTTAAGTAATCACTTTACAATTACAAAAATAACGGATTCATTTATTCTGTACTACAAACGAAATGTTACAAAGTGAGAATAAATTCTTAAGGGGAATGTACATGTATTAGATTTAAGAACATATAACAAGATGTCGGAATAAAAAAAGTAAAATACAACGTCTTCGTCAACGGCGCACAACCATGGAGATTCTATAAAAGTTCCTTGCATACAACGGCGTACAACTGCGCGCAACATTAAATTATACAGCGACACAATATTATTTTGTTTAAGTAATGTTACGACTACACAATCACCAAGTCAATCAGGAAAAGTTACAGATGGAATATGAAATAGGGATTTAGTTCATGTAACGTGAGGCGATAGTCATTACGTGGATATTTCTACAAAATGCATCAATGAG